TTTACGAATATTCTAAAAGAAATTCTTTTCTTTTTCTTTCTTAAAAAAAAATACTTCACTTTATACTTTGGGAGTTCCAACTATCCTGACCTGTTTCTGTCTTAGTCACTGTGTGATCGGCACGGGTTCGATCCCAACCCGATCGAATAGGCCCAATCCACGAGGTGCCACTCGCTTCATGGTTCTCAGCGCTCATGTATCATACCTTAGCATGGCTAAGTAAATTCTCAGCAACGAGACCCTCGGCTCGTGTGCTCCCCACTTTGGCACAAGTAGTTTCAGGAAGCCAACGCCTTGGTCAGGACCCTAGGCCTGGACGATGACCCCTTCTCAGAATAAAGGATACTCCCAAAAAAAAACTTTCCTTTCTAAAACTTCACAAGTTCTTGCTCTTAGTCAGCGTGACTGACAAAGATACTGCTAAAAATGCAAGCTATTTGCCCTCCTTTAAATATCACCAAGAAATACTAGAGCTTATGTTGAATATCCAAGTTATCTTCATTTAAGATTATCGTTTTAGACAAGATTCTGACGGAATGATATCCAACTGGTATAATAGTCAAAACAACTTCAAATCAGAACACTTTACACATAGCAAAACACAAGTGATTAACCAAGATCACGGGTCTTTGAAAATCCTTAGCTTAAAATTCAATCAAGTATCAAAATATCCAGTAGAGCATTGCAATTGCTAGACAATTTTTTTTCCAGTGCTATGCAGCTGCTTGCCTAGTACTAGTCCAATTAAATATATATTAACTCCTTTATGCAATTCAACAAGCATCTTGTATGCGTGCTTCTATGAGTTAAACCACTTTAGTAAAGGGTTATATCAACTCACCTCAAAACTTCTCGAGCCAATACGTAGCCCCAGTCCAATTGACACCAGTCAAACAATCGATTCTACAACAACCAGTACATTTTAATCAATTTTAAAGTACTACACCTAAATATGAAATTTATTGTTGATATAGAGGAAGAAGGGGAATTAACTACTCAATTCTT